CGCAAGCTGTAAGAAGAGTGCAGTGAATGGATGTTTCTCTGGACCGTTATATGACCACTCAGATATAATACTTTTGAGCACCACTTTGCAATTTGACAACTTAGAGCAAATAAAAGTAAGTCTACACTTAGCACACTTTGCGTCTTTTACTGTGCATATATGCACAGCTGCTCTCTCCAGAATGCTTAATTGTGAATCTCAAGGTAGCCAAGTTTATTGTTGCTATTCTCTGCCATGTATGGCAGTTTAACAATCAGTGCTGTTTCATTTCAGTAACACCAGAGTGAATGGTAAGAAATGTGGATTGTGATAATATATTAACATGATTTAATTTTGCAAGCAACTGTTAAACTAGAGTACTGCTCATATTTACAGTCTGACTTTTATTACTAGCTTCTTAATAACAGAATTAGAGTTCTTTGTATTTCTATGGTTTTTTTCTCCCTTCTGAAAGGAATAATCTCTTTTGAAGTTTTAAGTATCACTCTGAGTTACACAGTGGATGTTTATGAGGTTTTTCACCCAAATTATAACCTTTTTATATTTCAAAAACAAATAAGGTTTTGATTAGCAACTTTTTCAGAATTTTACTTAGGAAGGTTTTGTCACTCAGTGAAAAATCAGTTGTGCTAGGCAGGTTCCTTAGGAGAGCACTGAGGCAGAGTCAGCCTTTGAGTTCAGCAGAAAAGAATTAATTTCTTCTTAGCTGTATCCAAACTATCTTGATTTTCTTGCACATATGTCATTGGTTTTTTGATATCACATTTCTCTCTTTATGTTTTAACATACTCTCTCACCCCAAACTCAAGTCCCACAGCTGTTTCTCCTGTAGTGATGGATTTTTGCTTTGTTCTCATGCAAATTTTACCAAGGCTGCCTTAGGCATTATCTCAGTATTCAATGTCAATGTATAATGGGATCAAATACCCTTCTCTGGGAATGTCAGCTTCAGCCTTTAGTGGATACAGAAGATCTGTCAACAGCAGAAAAGATGTTGCTTCAACACACCAGAGACTGTAATTTCTGTGGCTGTTACCCAGGATTTTGCCTGCCTGTGTATTACCTCTTAGGTCTCATTTTAAACTATTGCTCAGACCAGGACTGTCGCTGAGATAGGCTTTATTTAACATTTTACATTTTTCAGGGACAAGGGCAAATGGCAATGCCTTCATCTCTCCTGTCTTCTCTCCATACTTCTAACTACGTTTTTTTGTACATCCATTGGAAAGCTTTGGACTCTTCCATATGGTTCATGCTATTGCAGAACAGATGTTGTATGGGCCTATCTAATTTTACATCTGTTCTGAGATTGCTGGCAATTACAGAAGCCTGGTTTCTGTGACACAGCCAGTCCTGCCTTCCCTTCAGTGGACAGGTAGTCAGAAAACAGAACTGGAACCACCTCCATCCCCTTGAATGTTCCAGCAGACAACTGCAACATCGAACTCTGGCGGTGTAAAGGGTTTTAGCTAACAAGTTGGAGCTATAATGGCTTAATAACTGTGCAGAAACTGGTTTTTATAATACTTGCTTCACAACCTGCCTCTACTTCACTGAGCCCCTCAAAACAGTATTTCTCTGCGAACAGCTTCTGAGGATCTTTGTTCAGCAGCTCTCTGTGTCTCGGTCTTTCCTTCAGTACAAGTTCAGAATCCACAGGAGATTCTTTGGCATTTAGGAGTCCTGCCAGAGTAAAGTCTGGACTCCCGTGGCATTTTTCGGAAAATGGGAGGTAAGTAGCAGAGAATCAACATAGTCTGATAATGGAAGGGTATCTGAAAGGAAGGCATTTTGGGGACAGGATGATGATTCTAAGTAGCGTGGGAGAGAGGGCACTGCCTGAGATTTTGCCAGTAATTTGGCTAGCACTTCAAAGACTTCCTGCAGATTTTCCATGAGGCACCATGTTCCCTAGCCTACCTTAAATTGCTCCTGGTCATCATGATGTTCTGAATTTACCAGTGGCCTGCTTCCCAAACATGCCTCACATAATTGTTCTCATCTATTGGGTCTTGACAAGATTGACTGCAGAAAACTAATTTAATATCTCTGAAGTGTACCAGAGGAATCTGAAAAATTGCATCATAACTCATTTATTGACTCTCCTTTTCTCAAAAGTTTCTCAAAGGGCTTGAAAGAACTTAAATTTCACTAAAAAGGGTAACACTGATTATGATGATGTGCTAGATAGACCCTGAAGAAGGTGAAGTCAGAAGGACCTTCTGTGAAGTTTTTGGGAAATAGAGACTAGTGCTAAGTAATTCTCAAAATGAATCATAACTCCTCGCATCTTCATCAATAGGTTTTTAAATGATTAATTGACTTGGTACTGTAGCAGCTTAGAATTCATTTTAGAATCAGAGTAACAGCAGAAATTAATGTAAATAGCTGTATTTCATCTCATTATGTGAATGCCAGAAAAACTCTACTCTGTCTGCAAATATATGTATGCAACACAAAGAATTGCATGTTGTACCTACCCACTTCATACCAAAGTGCAAGTTTCCACAGACACAAACTCAAGTGCCTGTTATAAATCACAGTCCCGAAACTAAGCTAGTCCTGAAACTAATCTTATGAACTTAACCTCCACCAGCATCAATCCTGTTCAGCTAAGAAATAGGAATTGCTCTATTAAAGAAAGGCTTTTCCATGTCAACCTTGATAACAGAGACGTGAAAGAAATGTCTCTGAAGAAATGTTGCTCCCTCTAAACTAAAATTTTGCATTTTCTGAGTTCGGTCTCTATGAAAACTCCTGGACTGACAGCCCCAAAAACTGTCATCTGTTTAGATCACACAGCATTAAGAATAATTTCTTGTAAATCATTCAACACAGGCCTGAATACAGTTTGGTTTCCACTTAGACTTATATCCAGTAGGGCTAATTGGTGGGTTAATTCTGCGATGTTGATTACTGTCTGCTAGGAAAGGGATCAAGCCCACCATCTGATTTTCTACAGATCACCAAACAACTGAGTGATGATAACAACTTAATCCTTGCCAAACTAGACAGATGGAGTTCAACCACTGAGTGTTTTCCAAACTCTTTAGCCAACTGTTCCCTACTTCTGAATATTTCCACAACAGCAAAAAAACTCTCAAAAGCCCCAAATCTTACCTTTTAAGAACTATTTATAGTGAACTTACTGTTCTAATCATACACAAGTACTGCAAAACTACACCACAAATAACAAATGTGAGAAAAATGTGAGCATTCCATCAGAGTAATGAGAAGACTTTTTTGCCTTGTGTTATGCTGGATATGTCTATAGGTTAATGAGCAGAATTGGAGCAGCCGGCTCATCCCAGGCTGCATGTTTTCTTTAGTTCTCCAATTTGTGTTCCAGCCCCACTGATACTCTGCCATTGCTGTAGGTGGTAGGGGAGCTGTGGGCAGATTGTCACTAGACTTCTAAAGCTAATTGGAACATGTAATAACAGCAAAAACTCTTGTACAGTCTGCATTTCATTTCACACATTGACAAATTTATGGGAGTCATACTGAAGGCAGAGGACAGTGAAAAAATTGCAAAAGAATGTTGGTCATATGCAGTATGGAAAGGTGACAATCAAAGGACTGACTTCTTTGAGGTTGGACAGTGTTTCAAAACATGCTTAATTTGCTCTGCCTTTCCTGACCATTGTAGATAAAACACCTAATTTTTTAAGCCCTGATATTAATAGGCTTTTACATTGAGAAAATTCTCAGGAATTAAAAACACTTATGATCAAATACTGCTGATAAGTATGAAAGACTGACATAACTGTTATAGAAACAAAGTACTTTTTTTACCTATAAGCACATTAATATAAATGTCTCCCAGAAAAAGACCATCAAACCTGAAATTAATTTAAAATAACACAGCAGATGTGGCATCAAACAACAATAATGGTACAGCCTTAGAATTTCAATTCCTAAAAGAGTCGAAGAAACACAGTAAGATCTATGTAGAACAACATTATGAAGGCCTGCCTAGGCATAGGATATATACCCTTATATCTAGGTGCTAACTTCTGCTTTTTCATTATCAGGAGCAGATTCACACTTTTATATTTTAAACTAATGAGAAAATAAAAGTTAATGTGGTACAGTAAAGCCATAAAGTTCTTGTTCACCCTGTAAAGAATGGTTATTTCATGAAACATATGGTGTCATTTAGAAAATCTTCAGTTGGAGAAAAATTCTCAAAAGTGACCATGTCATCATACAAAGGAAAATTAGTTTTAAAAATTGCATGTTTTTCTCAGGAGATTCTCTTTCTAATGTTAGTTGAAAGGATGTAGCAATATTTTAAATTTACATTTTGGTGCATTCCAAATCTAAATGCTGCTTGATGTTCTGGATTCCTCTCCATATACTCTTAAAAGGCATTTAATCAGGTGCTATCTTTCGGTCCTTTGAATAAGTAACATTGCCATTGTTGCCCCAATTACACCTGAAAGATACCTGTGTAAGATTGTGAGTGGCTGAGAGAGAATGAACTTGTACTGAGGTTTAATTGCTGTGCATTTAGTACTTAGGTTTACATTTATCAAGGGAAAACTGAAAAGACTGAAGCTCTATCCTATTCCTTTGCTTAGAAATGTCTCTTCATTTCATTCATTGAGAATTTTTGTTTGTCATTGCAAAGTGTTAATTCTTTGATAGGTTAGGTAAATAAAAGTTGCATTTTGAGCTTTTTTCTGTAAATGGTTTTGGCAAAAGATATAATTGAAAACGTTCAATTCAGCTTTTGTATCTAATTCTTTAAGAGAAGAATCCATAAAACAGTTGGTGTTCTGTTTTTTCACCAAAATTCTTCATAGGAATAACTAGAATAATTAAATGGCTCTTCCTTAAAACTTCAACATGCAGCTGTCAAAGCCAAAACTCTCCAAGCCAGAACATTCTTATCAGTGAAGAATTTGGGAACTAATTTGTAATGAAAATCACCCAGGCACATCGTCATTGTCAAACGCATTGGAGAACAGAATATTCCTACTGAACAAATTACTCACCAAGAATCACAGCAACGACGGTGAAAAGCACAAAAGCATTCCTCATTAAATAACTTTTAACATCGTCCTTTGTTATGCTCTGCACTTTTTTTTTTGCCAAAAGTGTACGTTTCCTGACTCCTTGCTGAATGCGTTCCATCCTACTTCCAGGTTTTGGATCTTCTCCGTTACCTTTAGTCATCTATCTTGCAGAAAGTTTTCTTTTGTAATTAACTTCTATCAATATCCTTTCAGGAAAGTGGAAGACTCTTTGAAGTGGGAGGTACTGGAGAAACCTGCAAGACAAGAAATATCAAACTTTGCAGTAAGACTTTAGAGGAATGATTAGCCATATGTTTACATGGAAGCAAATATTCTTCATGTTTCAGTAAAATTTGAATTGTTTGTAATATCTAAGCTGTTGATTTGCAGTTTTTGATACAATCAGATAGGTGTCCTATGTCTTCAGACATTAACATGAATTGCTGCTATGCTGCAAAACCCAGGAGTAGCTTCTTTTTCTTGCCATTTTCTAGTGATATACTAATATAAAATCAGTACAACTCACAGAAACTTAACATGTTATAGTGTTTAAAATTGTCTTTCAGGCTTGTTTTTAACCTGTTCATCAGGTTTTTTTGAAAAAAATCTAGCTCACCTTCACATTAACCATTGGAGAAAAAATAATTTGCTCGAATTGGTACATTTTAAATGTTCTGCATTTCAGATATTTTTAAATGATTGAATGAATTGGCTCAGTTCCTCCTTTTCACATGGCAAAAGGCAGCAGGAACAGTTTATGTATCCCTCAACCACTATTTAAAAGATAGGACTTTGACAGTTTTATGTTAATAACATTCATTTTTTAACTCTAGTATAAACTACCCCGAGCACATCTGTAGAACATCAGATGTAACATCCCACTTAACTTGTCGCTTCAGATTCACATTGCAGAGTAAAGTAATCCTTAGCTTGGCCTGACAGCAATTATGGGCATACATCACAGAATCAGAGAACAGACTGAGCTGGAAGGGACCCATCATGATTATCAAATCCAAATACTGGCCCTGCGCAGGACAACCCAAAATTCACACCACCTCTGATTTTAAGAAATCACACACCGAATCAACCTTAAAATGATTTAATAATAGAAGTTTTTCATTAAGACATTATTTTCTATTTTAAATTGTGCGGGTTTTGGTGGCTGATGGGAATGAATTTGTTTAATAATGGAGCCTGCTCAACAGTATTTTCCACGCTGAGAATTCCATTTTCTGAAGTCTTAGTTAATACACCGGCATGTTTTTACAAAGAAATTAGAAATTAATAAATGCATTGAGTTAGGTGCTTCTGCTGAAGTCTCTCATCTCTCTCCATGTACATGCAATTCCACATCTTACTTTTAAAAAATCAATTGCCTAAATAACATTTTTTTTTAAGGAAGCATTTAAAATATAAATACACAGAGGTTTCAACCCGCATGTTTTAAAGAAATTTCATGTCGTAATAAGTTTATTTTGGTGGTATTTGATCGTTGCTTCTACCATATGTTTCAAAATTGGCACTTTAGTGCAATATCCTCCCCGAATTTTAACAGAACACTATAAGCTTTGCTTCTTTAGAGAGTGGAAACATTCTGAGAATGAGCTACATATTTAAATCAGTAAGTATTCTACCTTGGACACGACTACTGTGTGCAAGCAGGATTTTCTTTTTTTGTTCAGAACAATTACTGTAAATATTTTGTAAATAAGAACAATACAAAAAAAGTAATAATTCCCAGTCCATTTTCTTTCCAGGACGTTTAACGCAGCTAACCTGTCCTGCGTAACTTACATCGAAACCAAGAAAGAGTACGGGTACAGCCAAAAGGACCGCTGCATTAAGTAAGATACAAAGGCAGAGAGCGAAAAATTCGGACTTCCCCCTCCAGCCCGCGATGGAGGACGGGGTGGGCTCACCTTCTCGGACCTGCCCGTGCTCCAAGGGCGCGGTGGTGGCGGATAAAGCGGGGGCTTCCCAGCGGAAACCAGGGAGCTGCGGCGCCCGGCGAGCAGGACAAACAATCTGCACGTGTTGGGGAATACGACAGCTTACTATCACTGTAACTTAAGGAAGGGGAGGAGACTGAGCACAGCGCTTGGGGGGGGGAAGAAAAAAAAAAAAAACACCAACCCAACCCACACCAAACCACACATCAGCAGAGAGGGGAAAGCGGAGCTCCTGGAATATTGATTAGTCTTGGCACAGTGAAAGCAGGGTCACTTTCTTTGTTTTTCCTTTTAGACCACTTTCACGCTTTGTCGGTTCAGCTTCGTTAGAAATGCAAAATCGGGATCTGGGAAGAATTGAACGATCGCACACAGAGCAGGGGAGGCTGGAGCGCTTCTTTATTAGACATTCCAGACTGGATATCTGAAAAGCCTAAACATAATTATATAACACTATTCCTGTGGTTTTTAAAATAAATGATAAAAGATCTAAGCATGCTACTTTGTTCTAGAAAGAGGCACAGTGTGAGGTTATCACGTATTTTCTAATTCTTAAAGGCAGTTACTCAAGATCTACTCTTCCCAGGGTGGTGAACCAGACCTATCTTTCAGAAGCAACTGGAACATTATCAAGGATAGAGAAAAACATGATCTACTATAATTCTTTGTATGTTTCTTGTAGATACTCAAAACACACGATAAGACTTGCCTCTTGTTTGGCAATTTAAACTCACTGATAGCAAGCCCCCATTCAGCCTGTTTCAATACTAGAGAATGAATTACAAAGGGAAAAGCATAAAATATCCACTTTGAGAAAGAAATGGCCTTCAGTTTTTCTAGCATTTCAAAGTCCATGGTGTTGAAAAGATATTTGCTGGGGGGAGCCAGGGGAATTCCGAAAGAACTTTCCTTTTTAGAGAAACATTTCCCTTTTAAACATTGGTAAAGTCAGGTTAAAATGTTCCATAGTTATATTTCAGTGGATCTTTCATGAGATTTTAAGTGTATTTCCTTATAAGAGAAATACTGTAAATTTAAATTTATATAAATTTATGCTAAATATATAATTAATCTATATATATTAATCTATATATATATTAATCTATAAAGGTTTGTTTATAGATGATGTTGACTTTCAGATTCGTTTCCTGAAAAGTCATTTTAAGTGTACAGAAAACCACTTCTGTACTAGACACACAAAGTACAGTTAGACACAAAATAAAATAAGAGCACATTTGCTTCCACACAGTTACAGTAATGGTTTTGCTAAAGTGTTTTCTAATTTGAATGTGATTCAAATAATGATGCAGAGTAAAATAATCTTACAATTATTCCAAGCTTTCTCGTGATTAATGTAGGTTTGAGGTTTAACTGTGTTCCATGGAATCTTGATCTTTGGTATCTAACTAAAGAAAGTAAACATCTAAATTAAGTTATTAACTGACTTTTAAAAAATCGAGAAAATATGTTGACAGCTTGTGTTGCAAAGACAGATACACATGCTGTATTTTCTTGTCCCTGGCAGTTTAAGTGTCTATCTCCTTTTTTTATTTTTGTGGTGCAGTTTGTAGATACTTTCACCATTTTGTCTGTAGATGGGAAATGACCTTTTAGCTAACCTTTGGCCTTTAGTGATCTGCTCGTTTGATCTTTCCTTTTGGAGTATGGCATGCTTTCTGCAAAGCCTACCAGAAAGTCTCTGCCCTCTGTTCGTATGAATGGTAATGATCCACTTGCCTTAATGGGACAGGGGTCAGGCCCCAAATGAGGTGATCCAAAAGTATTCCATCATTTAATACTCTCATTAATAAAGGAGTCTATGAGAAATGAGGATAATCTTCTAAGAAGATTACCTATGCAAAATGAGGCAAAATGAAAATAGACAATAATCAGTCATACAGCTTATCTGAACTTCAGTAGTGATACTTTTATCAGCTCTCAGTGAACAACAGATATTATTACACAGTGCTTAGAAAAATAGAATATTAATAACTTTAATGGCAATATATTAATTATTTTTCTGCCTTTTTTCCTCCCTTCTTCCTCTCCTCACATTAATTTCTTTTATTGATTATAACTTTGATGGTGATATAGGGAAATTATACTATAGGAAGAGTATTATTCTTTATATTATAAAACCCCATGTATTTTAGATATCCCTGGATAGCAAAAAAAATTAGTCAAAGGAGTTCATAGTACAGTGTCACCCTGCAACACATGTAATTAAAATGCACTGGAATTTCCTTTTACATATACAATAGATTTAACTGATTTAGTATGCAGCATTTAATACTAGGACAAAGACAAATTTAAAATGTTATTGGTTAAGTGCTTCTATCTGTAGTATTTTCAGTAGTATTAATTTCTTGGAAGAGCAACTTAAGTGTTACTAGACACATTGTAGACTTTAGTTTGGATCTGCCAACCTTAAAATGTTGATTTTAAGGTTACAAAAACTGATGGTTTTGTAAGTAGAGCAGCAGTCATTGGTGCAACCACCACTTTTACACAGATAAAATAATTTCTACATTCCTCAGAGTGTTAGGTGTTTGGGGTTTTTTTTTCTCCATAAAAATTGGCAAGGAATGACCTAAGGCCTGGATGAGTCTGTCTGTGATGTCATGCTAACTCAGTGCCCTAACCTATGTTTTGGGTTCCAGTTTCAGCCCTCCTTTGACAATGCACCAGATGGCTTGCAAAGCAGGGAAATGCAGGTATAGGGCAAGGGCTGGCATTAGCTTAAACCTCATCCTCCCAGGCAGTGTGGGTTCAGCCAGCTGAAATCATGTGTTGTGGCAAACACAAGCCCTGTTTGGTTGCGGCTGACAAAGTCAGTTAGTAAATGTACTTTGCATGTCGGCACAGTATCTGAGTGCCTTTGTAAAATAAGTAAAGGTATTAGTGTGGAAGCTGCTGTTCAAACATAAACTATTGTTATTTTCAGCTGACAAGAGCTATCAAACAAAAACCCAGGGAAGTCAGTTGTAGCAAATGCAAGAAGTGGAAATGAAGTAGCAAACTGTACAACCATTTAATTTCCCAGATAGCAATAAAGACTGTATGAGAGTGCATGGATCCCAGCTGAAAGAAGCTTTTGCCATTTGAAGTAACCCAGGTTTCACATTAATAAATCAGCACTATAAATTAATACTGGTTGAATACTGGAAGTTCAGGAGTTCTAGGTAGGAGCTTAGTGAAGTATTGTTGATACCACAGTGGTGAAACAGGAATAAAATTTTTGTGAAAGAACATGTTTATTCACAGTATATGGCATGTCATTATGTCCCCAGACTTAAATGAAGTCGGACAAAATAAGAAAATATATGATCCCCTTGCAAATTCCAGTTCAGCTTAGAACTGTTTATTACTGTTTTGCGCTCTTGTATCAGTGAAGAAACTGTCTCTAAGAGGTCAAAATGAAACCACACAAGTCAGCAAATATTTGTCAGAGCTAAGACACAGCCTTAGGCACCTGAATTCCACAGAACCACGGCATCATTTTTTGTGAGATACTCGCTTGGCTCTTGCTCTTTTGAGCACGCTAAAATGAATATGAGAAATTGAGATTTGTTTTCTGTTTCTTTTCAAATTTGTTTATCAGAGGGGGATTTGATGAATACCTCCATTTTGGCCAGTCAAATATGAAAAATATACCTTAGTTTTTATTAAGATTCAATGTCAAGAAAGTTATTATATTGCTCTATTGAAGACAGTGGGAGGAAATAGTGTGCTGTAATTTATATACTTCAAAAAAGACATAGGCTATGTTCTGTTAACAAATATGAAAAGCTGGAGGAAAAGATCTGCAGAACCCTAAGTGGTTCTGAATATATGACATTTGCAGAATTTGCACTGCAGCAGTGTTACATTGGGTTACTTCTAATCGTGTTTTGTGGCCCAAACATCTTTTTGTGCTTGGGCTGTATGATCTGGTTTTGTTTCTCCTAAAGGAATCCAGTTCACGCCTCCTAGGACCACTCCATGAAATTAATCAAAGCATCTTGCTCATGGTCACTCTTAGGAGGAAGCTTCTTCTACTGGTTATGCTGAACTTCAGTTTATCTTTGATAAGTTGAAAATCATTGGTCAAGCTCAGTTACTAAAAAAAAAAATAAATGTTTTTAGAAAATGCTACTATTCCATTCAAAGAACATTTCAAAAGCAAAGTGTTTTGCCTAGGATTAGGCTGAATGACTAGTAGCACTGGCCAATCTAATCAGCAGGATTTAGATCTTCAGTGATCTGTTTCTACTTTTATGTTTAATGTCCCATTACACTCTTAACATTGCTTACTCGAGCCAGCCAACAAGTCCACTTGGTCATTTTTATTCCTACATTTTGAGGCCTTGAGCTGTGAGAATAAATGTGATTTTATGCTTTTGAACTCTGTCAGTTGGCAGTCGGAAGTTACACATAAAAACGCGGCATTCCTTTTCTGCTCTGTGAAAATTCCCAGCAGAGAAACACGAACCTCTAGTATCTCCACTCAGCATCATGGGCTGTCTGGGCCTTAACACACACTGTATGTCTGACTGCAGCTGAATAGACAACCTTGTTTCCTTTCAACGCAGGGAGTCAGATTGCCACTCACTCTTGGGAGAAGGGGGAAGGGAAATGAAGTTATACCAGCAGAGGATGTGGCTCGTGAACTTTTCCCCTAACTGTCTTATCAAGGATGTGAATGTCTGTATGTACAATGGGGTGATTCTCACCGAAGAATAGGCAAGGTTGTCTAGGAAGGATGGGGAATAGGATGGGACTGTGTCATTGTAAGAAATCAAATGGGATCGCGTCGGCAGCTGATAGCATTTCAGATGCAAAGGTCTGTATAGTGTGGCTTCACTGGCTTTCCCACAGCCAGTGGCAACCACTTAAATGGGCGTCGAGGGAGAGACAGGTTCATTTGAAAAGTTAATACAGCATTGTGGCCAGTTACAAAAGAGTGTAGCATTGGAGCCAGAAAATTGCTACCCCCTGTTGCTCGGGTCCCTCTTGGTTTCCTCTTCCTGATTTCTTTTTTTTTTTTTTTTTTAAAAAACCTCTTCTCTGATCAGCTTCTAAACTTCAGTAGCTTGTGAATAGACAGAACTACTGAGAGTGCCCTGTGGAAGCTCTGGC